TTCCAAAAAACCCAAATCCTATAAATATGAAGGATTTCATACCTATTTCCTTGTGTAATGTGTTATATAAAATTGTGGCTATCAGGTGTTGGTTAATAGGCTGAAACTTATATTGTCCAAAATTATTTCAAAAAACCAACTTCACTACAATACAATGCATCTATAGCTACGAAGCATATTGTGGCTAAAGTGTAAATTTACGTGGCTAAATGCTTTTGCCTTAGCCACTATAAGTTTAATTCGTAGCATGTCGTAGCAAGAAATGAAATAGCTAAATCTTAGCTACAGGATTTAAGTTCTTTGTAGCTGAAAATCAATACCTTTTGCCATGCAATTTATTACATTGTGACTAAAACATTAAATTCTTTTACTATGAAAATAAAAATTTAAAGCAACTAGTTAGCTACAAAATTTAGAACTTGTAGCAAGTATTTTTACATTTAGTCACGATTGTTGAAACTATAGCTAAAAATTAAAATTAATTGCTACAAATAATATATTTGTAGCAATAAATTTTGGTTTTTGTCTTAAATAATGGTTAGGTCTAGCTAGTTGTTAATCGTTTTAACTTCAAAATATTGAAATTTTTTGCTACAAATCTTCTAAAGAGTTAGAACTTTTAGTTTGGAGACAATAATTGTAGCTACATGATTTAGCTACAAAGAATACGTTTATGGATAATTATTTTAATGTATTAGCTATAAATAATAATAGATTTTTAATAATTAATTCATTTTAATTAGTCTTAAATGTGAAAATTTTATGATTAAATATTTTATTTTTAATTATATAGTATAATACAAATTTTAGCGATATATAAGAATAAATAGCAAATACTATATATAAAGAATAACACAATTAGTTCAAATATAAAATTAAAATAATTAAATAATTAAATTCGAGTTACAAAACAATATAAAAAAACACCAATTAAAATTTTGTTCCAACTAATATGAAGATAGTAATAATTGAAAACAATATTATTCTAATCATAAAATATTTTACCAAAAACATTAGTAAAAAGTCACTTCATATCCATTAGCAAACCTTCTATCTTGCATCTCAAGGACTCTCAACAGTCACTTCGAATTTTTGTCAAAAACCCCAGCCTTGGTGATATATTTTTGATTCAGGTTAATGTCATAAATAATAGTTAGAGAGAGAGAGTCAGGCCATACAGTCAACCAGTTTGTAGCGTCTCGGTTCGGTTCATTCGGGTTTACGGGTGGACCGGGAAGGGATGTTACATATTAACTAACCCATTAAGATGAAAAGTGGAATATAATTTGAAACAAATAAAAAATAGAAAGTGTGTCTATTAATTAGAGACATGAGAATATAATCTGCTTTTAAGAATGTTGGTATAATCAATGTGACATCCCGACCGGCAAAGCGATCCTAAGAGGGCGGACGGAGCAAAGCTTTTCTCTAGCTTCTAGAATGGTAGGCTAGCTTTGGATAGTGGAATGCGGGAAACATGAATGAATCAGATCATATATTGATAATGGGAAAATTACTCATTGGAGGCGTCTTTTGGTGGAATGACTTGGACAATTAAAAGAACTTCAGGATTAAGCGTGCTTGCTTAACGGAAATCCTAAAATGAGTGATCACTAGGGAAGTTTCCCATTTCACCTGATTAGAGGCGCCTTTTGGTGTAATGGCTGGAGAGTTGGAAGAACTCTAGGGTTAAGCGTGCTCGCTTAATAGAAATCTCAGGATGGGTGACCTCCTGGGACGTTTCTCATTCCACCTGCAGGATAAAACCGTGCGGGGACTACACTGAGGTGTAGGGCGTCCGTAGACTACACCAAAGCGGACAATTTTTCTGGTGATTAGAGTCGGGGCGTGACACAAAGTGATTGATTTTGCTATAGCATAGAGAAAAAATAGTAATTTTTCTATAGTTTTACTCTCTTTTTATATGCGAACACAAGTAAGGAATTTTTCTTTTTCAAAATTTTTCTTTCCTTTTATTTTTCCTCTTTATTTTTTTATTTTATTATTTTCTTGTTATTTATATGTCATATAGCCAATTGATTGATTGTATTTTGAAAATAATATTTCATGTAGTAAATATTTCATTATTAATAAACCACATTTATTTATCTTTTATATTCTACTAACTGAATCTCGGTTAAAAAATAAATTCTATGAGATTATGTTGCTTTGCAAAGTAAATTATAACTTATAATTATGAGTTTTATTTTCCATTAAAGCAATGTCTCCAAATATTTCTGATCAATATTCTCCTCATTATTAGACGATAATTATAATTATAATTATTTAGACTAATACATATTATATTCTTTCCTTTATGAAAGGAAACAGTTGTTCTCATAAGTTGAGATATATAATAGTATCTAGAACTAATTTGTATGTGTTTGTTATTTAAACAAGTCTAGTGAATTGACCTATATGAGAATTCTATATGGAGAATTACCTGTGTCTATGAAATATTCGAGTAATGGTTGTGTAAGTGAACTTTTTACTTGAAATTACTAAGTTTTCTTCTATATGGATAATTATGTTTTGATTCTTCATTCACATTATTCATTTATGGACAATAAGCAATGGAGAATTGGAGATAGCATGAACTATATAGAAATACTTGTGTAATTAAGATAGGACTCATCACCCTAAGTAAACTGGGAAAATATGTTCTAATTGTTATCCATTAGTATTGATTAAGAAATTCTTGTGCAAAATAAAATGAAATTAGCAAATTAGATTTGAAATTGCATTCAAATAATCAATAGCGAAAATTAAAAGAACTAAAACAATTTAGTAAAGTAGATACACTTCATGCCTAATTACTAAACCAGAACATTATTGATGAAATATATTAATTATATGATAAATCATGCACTGAAAAGTTAAGTCAAAACACTATTAACTTTCCAAATATTTAGATAGTTATGACATATTGCTAGACAATGTTCTTGACCTTTAAATATTAATTAATTAGTTAATTATATTTGTCGTTTGGAACCTAATGGATCACACACATAAGAATAGATATGAGAAAGTAAAAATGAGAAGTCAAATCAAATATGACTTGATAACAAATGAACCTTGGCACATTTAGGACAAAATTGTGACTTATATTTTTAATCACAATTTTACTTGAATTATGAAATATTGGCTTAATTAATTTATTGCTAAAAGTAACTTAATATTTAATTATGATTTATTTATTTAAATTGTTTAAATAAATAAATATAATAATTATGACCTAAGGATCTCATATATATAAGTATAAGAAACAGTCTAAAGTTTGATAGCCACTAACATATAAATATAGCGCGCAAGATTGTCGCATAGAACGAAGTTTCGAAAGATCAAACTAAGTGGCACTGCAAAAAACATGCTAAATTGTGGCCGATGAATCAGTCGCAAATTAAAGGAAATTGGTCGATATTTCTAATCTGCGACCGCTTTGCAACCGAGACAAATCGGTTGCATAAACCCTCCTCACTATTTCAACTGTGTCAGATTGATCGATCCATCTATCATATTTTTTTGGTCGCAATTGGATCTATTTTGGCTCCGAAAGTGTTGGTTGCGATTCTGTGGGTAAATCTAGTCAATCGCTATTTTGAAAGATTGGTCATTAAGTAGTCACAATAATCAAGGCAAAATTTTTAACATCGGTCACAAACAAGTCACTATTCTATCGCAATTTTGTTTATATAAAGTCATTATCCGTCGCAAAAAGGTAGAAAATCAGTTGCAAAATTGGCGTGGTGGGAACAAATATTTAAAATTTCTCAAAACACAATTTGTTCACCTGCTAAAAACACAACATCATCGTCATCATCAAGATGCAACATAGAGAAATCTAAAAAAGCACTATAATGCAGTATCTGTACAAAATATAAAACTTAAAGCAAAATAATGTAGCTAAAATGGTCCAAAATCAAATCTACATCGTTGATCCGCTGAAGTGGATGGGGGAGCTGGTCTACTATCTGTAGAAGGTATTGTGGTAAACTAAATGCGTTGTAGTAAACTACAGGAGTCAATAACGTATCTGCAGTAGCAAGTCCTGTCATTGACAGAGACAGGGGGCTGGGGGGCGATTGCCCCTTGCTTCTACAAAATTTTTAAATACACTGCTTCTTGTAGATGATTTGTCGTAGATCAGCAGAAAGGATTCAATACTCAGGCCAATTGACCAAAGTTCGATCGTAGTGCAATGTATTTCATTCATTTTCATTTTTTTTGTATTTTTGTTGGGTAAAAACATATTAGGATTTCCATAGTGGACTCTATTTTCTAATAACTCTAAACCTAGTTTATGTATATGTATAAATAAATTACTATTTTCAATAAATATATATAATATGAAATAGAATAAACACTTTATATTAAAGAAAAAAAAATATAGTAAAGTAACCTTTTGTTGTCTTTGAATTATTTTTATCATTAATTTTCATTATAGGTTTTTATTTAATTTTAGTTTTAGGTTTGATTTTATTCCATAAATACACAAGATGCACATAAATATTAAAATATATACTATTATTATAAATTTATAATTCTATTGTTTATTATTTGTTATTCGATTAAAACTTACCAACTTGAAACAATTTTAAAATTCTAAATTTATTGAATAAACATGTGATATTTACTATGTTTGAATAAATGAATTTAACATCATAACTCATGATTCTATTTGAACATTTTTAAAAAATAATTTGAAATTAAACTGATCAAATTTTTTTTATTCGAAGCTGGTTTTTTTATTGTAAATAAGAGTCTACAATGTATTTTCATAATTTTATTTGCTCAACTATAATTACGACCATTCAAATTTTTTAACAAAAAATTAAAGAAATAGTTCTTTCAATAATAATCTAAATAAAATTATCAAACAAATTCCATATATAATTAAAATTAATAATAATTTAATCTTTATGATATTGTTTTAACAAGTTTTTATTTTATGAAATATTAATGTTAATCATGCATGATGCTCATATGATAATTTAAAGACGTTTATTTTTAATTCGATTTATTTTTTATTCATTGTATGAAATAATGAATTTCGCCCCCTAAGGAAAAATCCCAGCTTCGTCACTAGGTGCAGTATCTGAAGGAGGAATAGTAGGAGAAATTAAAAGTGTCGGATGAGGACTAGGAGGAGCCACTGGTGGATCTGAAACAGTCGGAGGATGTGAGGAAGCAACATCACTCTGTGGGCGAGACATCTGCATCACATGCGCTCTAAGCTTTGTGAGCTGCCTCTCCTGTTGCTCATCAAGATGAGCCCGTAGCAGACTAATCTCCTTGGCACTAAGCTCTGATTGTGATCGTCCGGAAGCACCATGATAGGGATCCGCTGAGCTGGTATAGAATTGTGCTGCATGTGAGCTGATACTGTACACCTTCCTCTTCTTCTTGCCTCTTGCAGCCTCCAAATATAGCCCGGCATCATCAATGGTCGGCTCAACTCCAGCTTCAGCATAGGAAGAGAGAACATGCTCGTGAACCACAGTGTAATTCTCCTAAAAAAATAATAATTTAATTATTCGATTCTGTTGCAAAATGATGTGAATTTGAATGTAGAAATTAGAGAAGGTTGGTAATGAAAAATTTACTTACATTGACGCCCACCGCATGCTTGTCGACAAAAGTCTCCCCATCATATTATATGACCCATTTTTTCAGCATGCATTGCAATTCAACACATAATATTAATATTTACATCATTATTGCACTAAATATCAATTTTATCATTTTATCTGTCTCACCAGTAGTTGAGATGTCTCTATAGTAGAGATGGAGCCACTAGTGTGTCTCGAAGGACCTGCTCCATCACTGCTCGTCTCACTTCGTCTATTAGGTGCGAACATCTCATAATTTCTCTTAAACGCAGGATCCTCCCAAGCATTCTGCCAGCTCTCCCATATCTCATGAGATACACACTGCTGCTTCATTCCACTCTTTTGCATCCTATACGTGAAGTCAGAGTATCACAAAGCGCACAGTTTCTCCCCAGCCACTTTAAGCATCGCTGTAATATCCTCCTCCCATACAAAATGCTTTTGCAAAAATAGAAGACAATATTTATCTCCTTATCAGTTAGTGGTTGCATTTATTGCGATATTTGATTAAAGTTAATGAATATTAGGAGCATACTTGAAACTTGTCCTAATAAAGTCCTTCATATCTTTAGGTACAATATCCCATGTGTATCCATTTATATGTAAATGTAACTTGAATACCCTTGTAATTTGCCTGATGCTTGAGAGGACGGATATATGCTGTGAAGCATAACGAAGTCATAAGTAAATATAAAGATTTATCACAATAAGTATAAAATAAAATTAAAAGAGAGAAGTAAACAAGTACTTATTATCCTGCTACCAATCTGAGTTGGTTATGTGGCTTAGATGAAGTTGCAAAAGCAAAAGGAAGAAAAATTCAATCCAATTACTATGCAATAAAATTGAAATTACAAAAATGGTGTTAACAATTATGATTACCTTGTGCAAAAGGGATCTATGAAGCTAGTGAACTCTCTGATGGTCCAACAAATGGTTCAGAAGAAGAAGGAATTAGAGGTGGAGGTGGAGGTGGCTGTGGCACAGGTGGTCGAACTAATGGCGAATGCCTAGGTGTACCAGAAAGAGAAGGAGGAGGAGGTAGGGGAGGGATAGCCCTCCCTTGGCCATGTGTGTAACGTCCTCGGTCATGACCTCCATGAGGTTCGGCCTCGGGCGCGTCTGAATCGACCCCCTGCCTCTAATCATCTGTTATACAAAATACCCAACCTATGTAAATATACATAGATAAAATTAAGCTATTAAACGACATAATGATATGAATGCCAGAACATCATGCTTTTTCAGAATATCATTAACATTGATTAGATTTTATAAAATGTATATTATGTGTATCTATTTATTATTTATAATACAATGCATTTAAGTTTCTTCATCTTCGTCATCGTCATTGTAATCTTCGACTTCTTCTTCTTCTTTTTCTTCTAAAGTGCCCACAAATATAAGTTGTTCTTCCTCCTCTTCATCTGATGAACCTATTTTAACATAATTTTTGTGTTCATTATCCAGTCTGTTGATTGAATTTTCAACCAATTGCATCAGTTGTACATCAACCTCAACTTCTTGAAATGACTCAAAGTTTGAGACTAAGGCATATTGCTTAGTTTCAACTTCTAATACAATTGCCCTAGCCTTGATTTTGCATACCGCCATCCAATCCAATCTATCTCATTTTAGAGATGGATATGGAACATATTACACCTGTATAGCATGCATTGCCAACACAAAAGGTTCATCTGTTGTATATTTTCTTCTATGATTAATGTTTACGAGGTTATACTTTAGACGAACCTTCATACCAATATTTGATGTGGGATGAAACCATTCACAATTGAATAAGATCGTTTGCTTTATCGGTAGGGATGAATATTCTAACTCCATAACATCAACCAACTTTCCATAAAAATCGTTTGACTCATCACTATAGTTTGATCCCTTTATGCAAACCCTACTGTTCATTGTCTTTCTGCTTGTCCCATAACAATCGTTTGACTCATCACTATAGTTTGATCCCTTTATGCAAACCCTACTGTTCATTGTCTTTCTGCTTGTCCCATAACGCTTAATGTGAAACTTCTATTCATTTACAAAGTAACCAGAATAAGCATTTGCTAGCTATAAAGGTTCCCTTGATAGATTAACAATGAATTTGTTATCAATATTACTTTTAGATTTTTGAGCCTGTATGAAATAATAATCGCACCGGTTAAGAGTAAGATATATGTTTGTTTCATTGGGTGACATTAAAGTTACTTATATAGCATTTGAATCAATCTACAAAGTCTACCTCTAGTCTGGCATCAACTGCACTATTAGTCAAATCAGGATTTTGTTCTAATAAATGCTCAATAAATTTCTTGTTATACAAACATCAATCCATGTTAGCCTAATTATGATTTAACCGAGTTATAAGTTTAGCATCTCTATATTTAGTCACTTACTGTACAAATGAAGTTACCTCTTCATAGTTTAACAATATATATGTTTGAGCCGCTCTTATTTCTACATTAGTCAATATCTTTTTTTTTTTTGGATTTTCCAATTTTGCGCCTAGGATAAGTGAAAATTGTTAGATTTCCTTCTAACTCGAGTTCAATTTGATCTCCACCATCATCATTGCGTGACACTCTTTGGTGCTTGGTCTAAATGTGGTTCAAAGTAATGTGAACAGAGGGTGGAAGCTTCCTCCACCAAATATGCATTGCAAATTAATCCCTCAACCTTAGCCTTGTTGCGCACTTTCTTTTTTATTTTGTGCAAGTGCCTATAATTTTATGTTGACGATATCAAAATATATAAGTTAACATTATAGACAATATCTTGATATAGCTAAGATTATAGACAATGGTTAAAGTATGATAGAAATGATTCACCTCTCAAATGGATACATCCATCTATATTGTACTGGTTCTGCAACACGACATTCATATGGCAAATGAACCGGTAGATGCTCCATAGAATCAAAAAATTGAAGTGGAAAAATACGCTCCCATTTGCATATGATTATTGGGATTTCTCGCCTAATCGGGCCATATCATCCAATTGAATAACAGTTGTGGTCAATTCATCAAAAAATAGACTCAACTCTGTCATTGCTTCCCAAGATCTTATTGGCAAAAGTTCCTGAAATGCTACAGGTATCAATCTTTGAATGAAAACATGGTAATCATGGCTTTTCATGCCAAACAATTTGTATTTATTCATGTCAGAACATCAACCCATATTTGATACATATCCATCCAAAAATCTCAATGTTTGAATCCACTCATATAATACTTCCTTTTGCGACTTTTCTAAAGCATAATAAGCCCTTGGATACTTCCTTGTAATTGCATTTTGTTCAAGTTCTGGCTAATGACAGATTTCCTTCATATTCGCTCGAGCTTTGGCATTGTCCTTCGATTTCCACTCAATGTTCATCACAGTGTTGAAGACATTTTCGAACACATTCTTTTCTATGTGCATGACATGAAAGGCTGTGACAGATAAGAAGTGTACCCCAATATGAAAAATCCTTTAAGATACTATGTTTTTTACATCCACTATTCTGCCCAGCCTCACCATTTATCTCTTTTGCACCTAACATGTCACTTTCATAAGCCCTAGATCTTTGTGCTCCCGATTTCACAGGTGGAGGGGGAACATTAACAATGGTGTTCTTTCTGAACCACTGTTGATTACGCCTCCAAGGATGGTCAAATGGTAAGAATCTGTGATGACAATCAAACTATGTTTCCTCTATTTTTTAATATAAATGCACTAGTATGCTCCAAGCAATAAAGACAAGCAATCTCACCATTTATCTCTTTTGCACCTAACATGTCACTTTCATAAGCCCTAGATCTTTGTGCTCCCGATTTCATAGGTGGAGGGGGAACATTAACAATGGTGTTCTTTCTGAACCACTGTCAATTACGCCTCCAAGGATGGTCAAATGGTAAGAATCTGCGATGACAATCAAACTATGTTTCCTCTATTTTTTAATATAAATGCACTAGTATGCTCCAAGCAATAAGGACAAGCAAGCTTGCCCACAGTACTCCACCCAAATAACATTGCTAATGTTGGAAACTCACTAATTAACCAAATTAAAACAACTTACAATAAAAAATTTTGATTTACCGAAATATCAAATGTTTCAATCCCTGACTCCCATAAACTATTCAATTCGGTAAACAAAGGCTGTAGAAGCACATCGATCTTGTACTTCAAATTAGTTGGGCCAAGTACAATTACACATACAAACATATACTTCTCTTTAATACACATTGAGGAAGGTAGATTAGGATGTTACAATAATAGGCCATGACAAATTTTGTTGTCCAGATTGGCCAAACGATTGGAACCCAACAATACACAACCCCAATCTTACATTTCTAATATCAAAAGCAAACATAGAATGTTGGTTATCAAAGTGTTTCCATGCTTCAGAGTTAAATAGATGAGTCATTGCACCATCCTCAGATTCATGCTCAGCATGCCATCTCATGTGTTTAGCTATCGCATTAGATGTGTATAAAAGGAAGTAATACATCTTCTTGAAGGCCTTCTCCCTTTGCACTCTTCCAATCCCTTGACCCCGCCTTTGGTATCTAGGAAGGTTTCAAAACTTACATACTCTTAAGTCAGAGCTAATGCCCCAGTATATCATACAATTATTCCGCAATAGTCAATCTTTTTCGCTGGTTGTCCTAAACCTTGAACTAATTCCTTTGTCTGGTGTCTAGTAAAAATTATCCATTATATAATTATCTTTAGGCAACAATTCTTTCATTAGTTGAGCAAAATCATTGAAACACCTTTCTGAGAAGTGGTTCGCTAACTTCATATATAACAATCGTGTCACTACAGATAGAATTGAATGTGTTTTGCATCCTTTCCATACTTCAGCATTAGCTGCATTTAGCATGTCAAACAACTTTTGCGCTATGAGGTTGGGTGATTCCTCCATATTTTTCTAATGGAATTTTGGCCCAGCTACATCAATTACCATCTAATTATGTCGCCTAGTTGGACCTTCCTTAATTTTGAGAAGCTGACTACCACATGATACATTATATGGGTGACCGGAATTACTTGAAATCCGAGGTTTACCATGAAATATCCATTCGTAATAATTGTCTATAAAATCATTCTTGCATAAATGAAGCTTCACTAATCAACATCAATGAATGCTATGTTTTGGCACTTCTTATGCTTACACGGACACCTCAATTTGCTGCCATCCATACAACTTGGATTAGCAACTACAAACTTTATAAATGATTCTAATCCTACCAAGAATTCATTTCTCGTTATCCCATTCACCTCGTACTTCCAATACATCCATTCCTGATCACTTTGCTTTTTTTTTTTTTTTTTTTTCATTTCTGTTATCCCATTCACCTAGTACTTCAATACAATCCATTTCCTGATCACTTTGCTTTTTTTTTTTTTTTTTTTAGCTTATGAACACTCTGTTGGATTAAGTGATAAAGGGTACTACGGAATTCCAGCAATTAATTACTTGCGTTATAGTTTTTTTTTTTTTTTTTTTTTAGCTTATGAACACTCTGTTGATTAAGGATAAAGGTTACTAGGATTCCAGCAATTATTACTTGCGTTATAGTTATATTTCACAATCTAATCAACTCTACTTTCTAATCATCTTTCAAATAGCATTGTTATGTTCCTTTTACATTTGATACAAACCTATCACATTCGGAAACATCTTGCTTTCAGTAGTTAAAATGAAACAACAACTTTACGCATCTGCCAGAATTTCAACAGCATCTCCTTATAGTTCTCCAAATGCATAATGTGGTTTGATTAAATCCACTATGCATCCGAAGAAAACAACAAAGAGATACAATAGAAATTCTAGGTAGTTGCACGTGTAAAAGATTATTGTTTTCATGCTTTTACTACTGATAGAAATTTTCAACTAAGGTTACTAGTACAATCCCTAAATATAATCCTAATGTTTGTAATGTATTTCTAAGTACATTATGCATAAATTATTAGCTTGTGACTAAATTTCGGCAGCACCTCACCATAAAAATGTGAAGTCTAAACTTAAAACGATTGCAAAAACACTTCATATATCCAACACCATTCTCCAAATCAATTCATGGCCACTACTAGGCCTCCAATTCAAAGAATTCTCATCCACCAGAAATTGAGCATCAATATTTTAACAATCATATTTATATCACAATCACATTCACTCAATATATATAATCCAAAAATTAATGCATTTAATTACATTATAAATCAATGTAATTATATAATGTTTTACTAAGTATAATATAAAAATACATTTGTTGCATTACAATTGTATACTAAATTACCCATATGATAGAGAGTTGAGTCATACTTCTTTAAAGTTAAGTCATAATTAAAAATAAAGATATATAACTAATAAGAGCACTAACTATCTTAAAGATCATCATACTTTCTCTCTTTATTTTTGTAACAAATATTAGTACTAAATTCGTTATTCGACATCAAATCAAACATGTATTATAATTCCTAACAATTATCAAAATAAATGTTTTAATATTAATTGTTATTAAATCTTTTTAAAGAATTCTAATTAAGAATCTGTGAATGAAAAAGAAAAAATAAAGAAACTCAATTAAGTCTTTATTAACTATCTAAGAAAATTCTAAAAGAAGTAGGTTTTCCTTTCTATCTAGATTGAAAGGTTATATTAACATATAATGGTTCTTCATTCATATATCTATGGCTATAATAGTTGTATTCAATTATAAGGTAGAAAGTGGATTAAACAATAATCAAAATAACCTATGTTCCAATTAAAATCATTTCTAAACTTAGAAAATGCAATCAGGCAGCAAAGGTTTCCAATTTACGAAACTTTAACTTTCAAATCTAAACCATAATATAAAATATTAACTTTCAACCAACTATCACAAAATGAAACAATTACAAATCAAAAGCCTATTCTAATCTCTAACAGCAAACGGAATTAATGAAAAAAAAATACAAATTATTAAAAGCAAATCGATTAACAGGTTGTAGAAAAGTACCTGAAATGAGGGGAACAACGCAGCAGCAAGCTTGGCAGTTTCCGGTGACAATAGTAACCTTCGGTGATAGCAACAATCTCTGCTTCGGCAAGAGAGAGAAATTACACAGTGAGAAGGATAGTAGAAAAGAGGAGGGAAAAGGGGGCAACTATCGCACGACCAAGAAGGGAATTGTTATAAACCCTATAAAGATTGTGCCGACAAATCAGTCGCAATCTGAAAAAAATCAATTGGAGATTTTGAGTGAAATGGCACCGTTTTAATCGTCGTGAGATTGTGACCGATTACTTCAGTCGCAAACATTTTTTTTTTTTTTTTTTTTTTTTTTTTTTTTTTTTGGCTTGTGTTGTGAACTCGAATCGCAGTCAATATTTACAACATCTTGTTTTTTTTTTTTTTTTTTTTTTTGCATTTGTGTTGTAACTCGATCGCAGTCATATTACAACATCTTGCAGGGAATAAATGGCTGCAGAAATAACGGTCAATCTTATTTGGTCGCTAATTTGGTAGCGAACCGTCCCAATGTGGTCACACTGTACTTGATTTTTTCCAATTTGCAAAATAGTTGCAAGGCGTCGCACATCGATCGCAATAGTTCGATCGTCGGTTACAATAGTGTGATCTTTACAGTCGGTCGCAATTTTGCACTTTTCTTATAGTGAATCCTTCTAAATAAATTGATTTCTTTAATTGTTGAAACAGATTCATATTCATGTTGGTATAATAATTTATTATAATTATTTTGTTCTGCTGCGCTTTATTGTATCATAAAATCCAATAATAGTATCAGAGCCGTCGTTTAAACGTTTAAGGTGTAAAATAATATATTAATTATTAAGATTAGTTTCGAATTAATATTATTTGGTAGTTTGACAAAATTAAATATGATATTCTTTCAAAATTCCAAGAATTATTTTTATAACTAAATTTTGATTTAATAAAATAAATATAAAAAAATTAAATTGAAATTGAAAAACGTTAAAATTTCATCAACAGGATAACATCGCCATTTTCATAGCCAGACTGTCAGCCTCCGCGAGCCGCAGGCGGCGGGTGGTGCGTCGATCTTATCCCAATGTGCGCCGGCTCCTTGCGTGAGCCCCAGTGACGGCGTGGCCCTCGATCGGCAGTTCTGCCTTTCGTTATATATATATATATATATAAGAGAACTCAGGCTCATTTTTCCGGCGAGACAGTCGATATTCAGTCGCGCCAAAGGCTGGCAGTGAGCTTCCGTTCGCTAGCGAGCTTCTCCTGGCCGAAGGAGCGTCGGTGTCGCTAGCCATGGTAGCAATCCCATCGAGCGGCGGTAGGGGTTTCTGTCAAAAACCTATTTTGAGAAGATGATGAAAAGTTCATCTTGGTCCCTATTTATCTTTCACTTTTCAATTGGGTCCAAATATTGTTGCAATTTATTCATTTAAGTCCTAAAATTAATTTTAATAGGCTATTTTAATTAATTTGGAATTAATTAATTTACAGGGACTATTAAAATTAAATTTCAGTAATTTAAAGTTGATTTTAGAAAATTTTTTAATTTATTTAGAAAAGAAAAATTAAAAGAGTTTAATTTATAATTATTTTTTTAGTAAACTAATTTCTAATTGGATTATGAAATAAATTAAAATTTTTAATTGTATATTAATTCTAATACGATGAGAATTAGTAAAATTAATTACTTGATTTTATAAATTCTAAAATTAGTTTTAATAAGATTTGATATATGAATAAAATTGTTTTTATCTATAAATTGATTTTAAAAAATTATCAAAAATGAAATTTTAATTGTTAAAATTTTATTTTCAACACATTTGACCAATGATTAATATATTAGTGTTAAAAAATATTTAAATGCATTTAATATGACTATTATACATTATGGTGATTATAGACATTAGAAAAACCTATGTGATTGGTTTTATTATATTTGGTTAGATAGATTTTATGTAATTTTAAATAGGCTTTGCATATCATGATTTTTGTGGGTTGTAAAATTTCATATTTATTTCATTTAATTGTGTAATGGTTAGATAATTAGAATATATAAATAGAATACCATTTTGTAACCCAAGAAGAAAAGAAGAATTGAAGAAATTATACGAAGTATTGAAGAATCTGAGCCAAGGAGCTGCTTTGAGCCTTGTTAAGATCTAAGAACTTGTTATCTAGGATTTTTTTTTACCATCTAATTTCCTTAATAATGCAAGAAAATTAGTTTTAGAAATATCCATAAGCATCCAATTAGAATGACATGCTAGGGGTAGGAATGAAAGCGGGGTGGGTACCGTGAAATTTAAACTATCCGTATTCATATCCATTTAACATTTTTTACCCGTATCTTTTTAAAATCCATTTAAATATCTATTTAAGTATCCGTATTTAAAACCGTTAAATTTTTACTATCGATATCCGTTCAAAACTCATTTAAAATACCATTATACAGATAAGATACCCGCGAATTTTAACTATCCAAATCCAAACTTATTTAAAATACAATCTTTATAAATAGTAGATAGGATACCCGTGGGTACTAATAGCGGATAGCGGATAGCGGGTATCCAAAGACCTAAAATCATACCCTATCCGTATTCATTATGGGTAGTAATTTCACTATCAGTATCTATCCCAAACTCATTTATAACTACTCATATCCTATTTAGACCGATAGGAGCAGGGTGCCCTAAAATACCCAAACCGCTTCCATTCCTAGCTAGAGGGTGTACATTATGTGTGCAGGATATATGATATAATCATTTATGACAAAACATGAGACCTGAATTAAAATTAAAATTAAATAAATTCCTTATTAAAATTCTAAATACATATTGTAACGCTCCCTGCTCGTTTCTTGTGGGACCAAGCAAGGAATGCCAAATTGCTGTGCCAAAAGCACCTAGCTTACTAAAAAATAATCCTAGCCAATTAATTATAAGCATTGTTATAAAAATATTTATAATACAAATCCTATTATCAGCAGGTCCATCGGTTGATCTTATAAAACAATTTAGAAAATCCTATAGAAAAATTGTAAGAGTTTTTCCTAATTATACAACTTATCAAAAAAACATGTTAAAACAAATGCATATTCCAAATCTTTATGTTCAAAAGCTAACATCATTCCACATATGATGTTCCAATTCATGTATTATAAAAGAAGTTTAAACCATAAATCAATTTTTATTAAAACATAAAACTTATAAAATCTTTAAACCAAAATACTCAGGTCTCATTATTACAATCCCCAATAGCTAAAACCAAATTTCTCAACATAATAAAACTAATAACATGCGATGAGTCTAACATAAGAACTCATACTCAAAGACTAGAAATTTAAAGACTTTCTTCTTTGATGCAAGATCTCAAGAACTAAGCAACGCCTCGAAGCCTTCAACCTACGCAAGATAAAATCACTATGCTGAGTATAAAATTCACTGGTGCTCATCACATAAATTCAATCATAATTCAAATCCATATACAGTTTCACACAACCAAACTAAGCATATATAATATAATCCAATTAAACATATCTATCACATATACATAAATGTGTGTTACCGTTCATGCAATAACCAAAGCATCTTAAATAAGACAAACATAATCAAGAATTATTATGAAACCATCATATACCTGCTTACATTCAACTTATACTTAATATTATATAAACATAGGTACCGTAATCCAGTGTAGTTACAAATTCATAATGATAGAACATGAATAACTCAAATAAGCAAAAGATATAATATCATCAAATCATATTAAGAAGAAGGCATTGAAGCCCAATAGAGGTGTGAAGAAAGAAAAGGGTACCTGTCACAATTTACCCCACTGTAAAACGTGACATGTCAACCATAATATCCTTGTTAAGCAATATTTTTGCAAAAAAACTCGATAAACATACTACAAGGGACTTAAACAAAATATTTTCAATTACACATATTTATTAGTTAAAATTATTTTCAAAAACATTATTTAAAAGTAGGTTCAAAAGCTCTTTCAAAGAAATATATATATATATAGGGAAAAGTACTTATAACATCATAAACTTCTATTTTATAATTATGCATATTCATTCATCGCAAATGGTTCCATAACTCATAAGCCCAATTGAAATGCAGTTACATGCTGGATTAATCTCATTTTCCCATATAAATAATAATAGGAATAAGTTACCTTAAAGTAATAATAAAAGTATATAGACATATGGCTTATACTCTATACTAGTACTATGAGTTTACATAAACTTTAATTACATAAACTTTATTAAGAAAGTATATCAATAATAGTGAGAGAAATTCTTTGATAAAAAATCAATAACTATCTTTTTTATGAAAGTGGTTATGGAGAATTATAATCATAAGGAAAGCATTAATTCAATTATAAGTAAAACATTCATTTAAGAAACTTGACATATCCAATTTAGTCTCAACAGCTTAAATAGACTCAATTCGAAGGGCCATCAGTGTCCTATGAGCTCATTAAGACAAAGCTATCTCAACCTCAATCTGTGATTTATATCTCAATAGAAGAGGGACAATCTGACAATCTCAACTCATTTAGGAGGGAAAATTTCGTTTGCTTATCATTCTTGTCCTATGAGCTCATTAAGACAAAGCTATCTCAACCTCAATCTGTGATTTATATCTCAATAGAAGAGGGACAATCTCAACCTCATTTAGGAGGGAACAATTTCGTTTGCTTATCATTCTGTAGACGCTAAATTTTTGCCCCTAAAATGGCTCAGTGATGATAATCTTTTTTAACAAAAAATTGAATCTGAAATTCAGACCATTCTGATTCTCGAACAAATGGTCCGTGGTTGAGATAATGGATGTATTTGACCATTTTCACTTTTCAGGTTTTCGGGCTTTCTGCAGTAAAATTAGGCTTGGGAAGCTCTTCAGGTTCGCTTAGCACACTTCCCAATGCACCGCCTCCTTTTGCATACCATCCAGTCTGATTTGGTAAAAAGGGTCCGGCCCAGTTTTGGGGTCCACCGGTGTCACTTGCCACCTAAGCCCTAAAAATTAGGGCAATATTCTCCCATTTGCGTATAACTAGGCCTTAGGTTTTGTGCTAAAGGATTTATTTGAGGGGAAGCTAAGGGAAACTCTGCCATTTTCAAAACTCAACTATCAATCAAAGGAAAACTTGTGTTTCTTCTTTGATTTTTAGTGCTATTCATTGATTTTTAATAAAAACTCCCTTATTGCTAATCAAGAAAACTCATAAGTACATACATCAAATCTTAATCTCGGATTATTAGTTCTAGAACAAAGCTTTTGGGTGTTCTT